TTAATGTATAAACATAATGAAACATTGTATCAAGATGATTCATTGATCTTCACCAAAATGTAAATGTAAGAAGGATGGTGAATTTGAACAGCTAAAATGAGTATTCTCAATTTTGCCTGAATAAAATAAGCAGTAATGTTTCATTGATAAATGAAAATGTTTCTTCTTATGAAATATTTTTTCTTTTTCTTTTTTTAAAATGTATTTAGTGCAGGGTCTACAGGGTCTCACTACACAGATCAGACTTGTAGTGATTCTCCTGTTTTCAGCCTCCCAAGTGCTGGGATTACAGGTGTGCGCCACCACACCCATTTTCAATCGCCATTTCAGTGTGCCCTGGGGGAGGGGCCGGCACAGCACGCCAGCGATTGAACCCCGAAACCTGGTCCCTGTGCCTGCCTAAGCAGGCACTTTAGTCTGCTGAGCTATCTGGCTGGCCCTTAGTATCCCCTTTCAAATGTGGCCATAATTTTAATTTTAAGATATGCAAACTTTCCATTAACCCATCAAGAGTAACAACTGCTGGGTTGGCCACAACCTTGTTTCTCATCTTTTGCTTCTGTGCTGTATTTCCCACAAGGAAAGTGGACTGAAAAATGCCAACACTATTTAACTTCCACTGTAATTAGCAATCTGTGGTTTTCAAATGGAATTAAGTGAAATACAAAAAATAATTTACACCTATGTTTTCAGAATGCCTCACCAAAAGAAGACAGGGCTATCTCAAAACAAAAACAGAAACAAGAAATGAAACAAAATCAAAACCCCTTAAATAAATACAAAAGAAAAACAAAGAATGGGGGGGAATGAATCATAAGGAAAATGAGCCTTAATTAAAGAAACACAAAAAGCCATGTGCCTGCTCAATCCAAAAAGCATGGGCCTGATAACCAGTCTAGCTACAAATATACATTTAGCAGCTAAGAATTTAGGCTATGCATGATTCGCCCTTGTGCGCGCTGGACTCCTGAGAGTCAGTAGTAAACAGGGCTACATGGACAGCCTAAATGCATTCAGTGAAGGAACAACATTCATTGCCTTTGGTATGCTGACACATGTAGGACAGTCCATACTTACTTTCTGAAGAGGTAGTTCTTGATGATCAAATTTAGACTTAGTCTGCAAGTTTAAAGTCATGCTTCTGCTTGCATGCACTGCTGAAATACCTCCATAGGGCAGCATGCCAAGGTTAACTGTGTTGTGTTTGTAAGCAGCATTCTGAGTAGAAGAAATAACCATGTGACAGGATGTGAACACATGCGCCACAAACTGCTTCTTACACGAACATGTTTCAATTTATAACATTTAACTTTAAGCGGGCAAACAGTAACTGTCTTTTTTTACGCATGCACTCGATCAGACAAAAGCATACAGGAAACAGTGTTAGTTATGCACATAATGAGAACCATCCAAAACTACAGAAAGGACAAAAAGCAAGGAAGATACATTCTGTTGGTGTTTGCTGGTCAGTCAAAGGCACAAGATCGTCAAAGCAGGGACTTGGGACAGGCGCTGTCATGTGGGCAGTCTATGAACTTGAAAATAAATTCAGAGAGTGAGGACTTAATCAAATCTTGTCGGCTACAAAATGTCACGGTCTTTTACTCATTGTGATACCGTCACACATGAAAACCAAATATGAGCTAATTCTGCCTTCAACTAATACTTTGCAGTATGAAAATCACAAGCACTGCCTTTATTATTGTGCTGTCTAGAGGCATAATTACAGCAACTCAGAAAAACAGCTGGCGAAAATCATTCAATTTGATCTTTGGTTAGACTGAATTTAATTCTTAATTCGAGGGTGCCAATCCAATAAGCTGGGTGTGGATCTAGGCATTCTGTTTTTCAACATTACATTTTAAAGTAGAGAAATTTCGTAATGCTACTGAAGTAATTATACTTTGTGAATTATGAATGTTACTTATTTAATCCACCTAAGTATTTATAGAACAATACAGCGATGTTTATATCTAATATTATAAAAAGGTGCATCTAAAATTATATTAAGATGCTGATAAGTTTTCCTTAGAGGACTTCATTGAAAAATTAAAACATCTTAAATGTCCTGTCATGGAACCTTGAACCTACAATGGACATGTAATCATTAACAGTGTTTGACTTCTGTAGGTGAATCTTAGTTTCAGAAAAATATCCACAGATGCTAACAGAATATTTTTCTTAACTGAGTATTATTGAGCATAGAGAGCAGCAGCTTTTTTTTTTTATTCTGAGAGCATTATCTGTAAAGTAGTGATATTTATATCAAAGTTTCATTGAGCTATAGTAAAAGATTATTTTGCTACTGATGATGTGCTAGTCCATGAATCATATTTGTTATGGATTCCTAATTACTTCACACAGAGATCTTTCATTGTCACCATGCTGAAAGTGAAAAAGGACCCCAAGCACCTGATCTGACCCTTGGATGCTTCCTGAGGGATCATCCAATCTAGCGCTCCTTCAGTTCCTATGGCAGTTCCTATGGAACCCTTATTCTGCTAGCCTCAGAATTCGGGTTCAGGTTTTTCTTTCTCAGCCACAGTGGGGCACAGTGCAATCATACGCATTATGATGAACCCAAAGGAGACCACAGCACCTTCTATGTAGGGTAATACTGTGGGCTGCCTCCTCAAGGTCTAAGCTGAGGGCTTTGGCCAACATTACTTTGGACTGTTAACCTCATCCAATGAATAGATTTCTAGGTCTTTGTCTTCTATGTGGAAATATAATGTCCCTGCAGTTTCAAGAGCAGCTGTCTGGTTTCTAGGATTTAAATTAAGTTTCAGTAGGAAAGAGGCACTTTCTAGCTCTGGCGCAGTCTGACCTTGAGTGGGATGTTAGGTTGCACAAGTACGTGAAAACCAGTTCAATGTGATAGATCTGGGCTTTAGTACTCAGACTTTTACCTTGTAGCATAGTGGGAAAGTTTTAAGTAAGGAGACAGCCTGAATTGCTGTGTCTCAATTAAAAGAGTGAAAGAAATGTTACTTGGAAAAAAACCAGAAGGAAGAAGGGCTTGGAGGGTCTGATGGCTTGAAGCAATGTTCTATGGGAATTTCATTTTGTGGAATGAAATGAGAAACTATTGAATGCATCCTGGGAGGTGCAGAGGCATTATTTGTTTGTTTAGAACTATAAAACGTTATGTGCGGATTAATTGAAAAGAGAAATGTCATTATAGCAGTGGCAAATGCACACGAATTCACTGCCAGTTGGCTGAAATGGGCGGGGTTGCCTAACTCTAGCTGATAGCTCTCTCCCATCCTTGTAAACACTCCCCCCAAGATTTCTTGTTTCGTCAAAGTTCGGTCAAAGGAGAGGAAACATTTCTCTCGGATAACAGCAAGTAAATGATGGTACTAAAGGACTCAGAACTTTATCTTCATGATGTGCTCCCTTGCTCCTCTGTCGCCTCCATCTGTACACCTCACTGTAAGAGGCTCCTCACAACATTTCTCAGCTAGTTCACCTCACCTTGTTACATATAGTCATGTCTACACATGGCTCCCAAACTGTACTGTACTATTTGGCCCCCAAGAGTTTCGCCCTCCAAGCTATCTGTCTACATGGTGGTGGTAACTTGAGGGAAGGTGTGGTGACAACCGCATAGCATCTCCCACTGATAGCCAGGCACGGGGCTTTGATGAGGCCCCCATCAGTGGGGCCAAGCACACCTGTCTGAAACAGACATTCCGATGAACGAGTTTTCAAGGCAGGACCAATTTCCACACCAACCAGCCAATACCCACACGAACATTTAGTAGCTCACTCTTTCCCTAAAATTCTTTCTGTCATGTAGACATGACCTACAGGTAATATAATTACCTGAGTACAGTAAACCTGAAAACACAAAATTCCATATTAAAGAAGTGCATCATAAATACAGTGGCATGAGCTTTTTGCATGATACCATCTAAAATTTATGAAACGATCTGCGGACACATTTTATAGCACAGTTACCCAGGTTTCCGATTCACACAGAACATTCGAATCTAGAAAATGAGAACAAAGGGCCTGAGTCTCACATAAAGGATCTTAAAGATTCTGACGTCAATGCAGGTGCAGAAAGCCCTCTACACCGAATCCACACAGTGTTCTGAATGTTGGTGGCAAACTAATAATTGTTCTAGAAAACGAAGCACCAGACTTCGCTTAGATTTGAACAGGCAACAAAAAAACTAATTCTAGGCTTTATGTACAGTGATTCTCCCAATCACTGTGCATTCCATACTTTCTACAACTCAATTTTTCACTGAATTAGGATTAATTTCCTTTTTTTCTGCTACTGTATACATGCTAATTTGTACATCTGTCGCCTTTATAAAGGTACCATCTATTTTTGTTGTCTGTAGTATGTTTGGAATTTAAACATTTTCTTCTGTATAAAAACCCGAATTCTAAATGGCATGAATTTTATTAAGTAAAATAGTGTGTAGGAGGGCACTTAATCTCTGCATATTTTCTTTTTCTGTTTCTTGCTGGGAAGATTATTGCTCATTAGAAGTAATAACTTTAGTAGTCCCATAGCAGTAAGTATGTGCAAATTTTCTAAACAAATCGTGCCTGAGTTTAATACAAGTAAGTCTGTGCAGAAAAGGGTGAATGACTCACTTCTTATAGATCCAATAAAAACTATACTCCTTTGGTCACTAGAGAACAGTTTCATGTCCTCGGAGAGGGATCTGGCTTGCCTTAATGGCTAGAAGGCAATTTTAGCACCATCCCATATAATAGAGTCCAATTTTTACTGACAGTATGTAGGCTTGATTTGATAAACAATTCACTCTCGGGTTATGGATTTGCGGAAAGTGTTAAGCAATACCCAAGGGGAAAAAGAGACCCTATCAAGATCCATTTCCCCCACAATGTCAAGATAAATAAAATGCTGACCATCTATTCACACACGTAGTTCATGCTTCGCTACACGTGCTTAGAAATGCCACGAAAGCAAAACTAAAGGCAGGAGGGATATTCTTACAGAGAAAGGCCAAACATACCCTGTCTAACCTTCTAGCTTCTATATGTCTAAGCAGCTGTTGTCTCCAGTCTGCCGGCATTTTACCACAGCTCTCCTCTCCCTTCACAGGAGTAGGCCTCGTCTTTACATCACTGTTATCTGATGGCTTGTCACCATAGTTACCCAAGTTATAGTCAGACGGTATTTTTTCCAAAAGAGCTGCCATAGTAGGCCTAGCTGAAACTGGCCTGGTTTGGGAGGCCCCGTAACTCTCTGTACTGTAGCTTCTGGCCGATAATGGCCTCCTCTGGGTAAGGTTTTTAACGGGAAAACTTCCCGCCTGAGCTTTCACTTCTTGATATGAAGGGAGTTCATCTTCATACCTGCCATTCCTCTTGAGGAACTGGGACTCAGTCACTGACACGCTGCTTTGGCGATCCAGCCCTCCCCTATATGCGGGTCTGCCGTACCTGTCCGTGGGGGGCAGCTCGTGGGGCTCACTGACCCTGCGGAACATGGCCATTTCTGTGGAACTGGCCAGGGAGTCGGCCCTCCTCAGGAAGCCCGCCCGGCTCCCTTGGCTGGCAAACTGGGCGTTCACCACAGCATCCTCGTTGACAGATGGCTGAGAAAAGGAAAACATCTGCTCCATGGGCGGGTAGCCTGGGTAACCCCTGGGGCTGACCAGATCCTTGGCCATGTTTTTGCTGGGCTGTGGCACGTACTCGGAATTGTGCTGGAAAGGGGGCGGGATCCTCTTATTAGCCTTCACTTCCAGGGCTCCTTGAGGGTTGAAGCTTTGGTCAAACTGGTAGACTTTCTTCGTCATCGAGGCCTTCTGTTGTTGGGGCCCTTTGCTGCTGCTATAGGTGAGCATTTCGTCATCCAGCATGGGCACGGACTGGCTTCGAGACATACTGGACATGCCGTGCTCTAGGCCCAGCAACTTGTCTGGCCGTTCATGGCTTCCTAAGTGGTCGCTGCCAGAGGCGTAGTTTTCTAATGGTATGTTATACACCTTGTAGGTACCAATGTCAATCTCATCGATACTCTGCGACTTTTTGAATTTGTTGGACTTTATATCTTTCATGAGTGGGGAAAGCCTCTCTGTGCTTTTGCTAATTGCAATAACACCTTTCGAGGAATCAGGACGGCAGTGGATTTGAGAAAAGACATTCCCAAGACTCCTGTTGGAGTTGGAGTCGTGATACTCCCATGGCACTCCTGGAGAAAAAGGGCTGGGTATCTCCGTAGATTCTTTTAGATGATCTTTCCTTTCAGGCAAGGGACTAGTTGTGGGGGTTGTCTCTAATTTGGAGGGAAAAGCAGTCCTATCTTCGAATGGACTAGGGGTTCTAGTCCAATTCTGCCAAGGATTGGAAGGAGGCACTTCTGTTTCTGGCGTGTGTCTGTGAGTGGACTGCTCCAGTTCAAGGGGGACACCAACAATCCTCTCCTGCCTGAGCAAAGGCCTGCGTCCATGAGGAGCCACGTTTCTCGCCTTGGAGCCTAACAGAGGGTTACTGTTGGCGTTCTCGGCTGCGGACTCCTCAGCGACAAACCCCGTGTTGTCATAGTGGGAGCCATCAGTCCAGTTGTCAGGAAAAGCATCACTCATAGGCAGGCGGTCAGGTCGCTGTGGCAGATTCCCTGGGGGAACTGCTTCCCGCTGGCTGAGCAATGGCTTTGCGTCCAGAGGCTGTGGGAAAGATTGTGCAATCCTGTGAACATAAGATGAAGAAACACAGATGTGAAGTTGGTCCCTGCAGAAAACAAGCCAACAGCAAAGACGGGCACCATTTTTGGAGAGCAGATTATTCATCCTCACCTGAATTAGGATTAAGGTAATATTGTATCATCATTTCATGTCTCCTACAAAATAAATCTTGCTCTTTTATTTCTTCCTAGTAACACCCTGTTATGGCACAATATGAAATTTACTGCCCTATGATATTTTATTATACTGACCATCTTGCATCCTCTGCTGGACTATAAATTCTTTTTTTTTTTTTCAGAACCAGGGATTGAACTCAGGCCCTTGCACTTGCCAGGGAAGCACTTATTCCACTGAACCATCTCCCTGGCCCCCTATAAATTCTTTTTAAAAAATTATTTGTTTACTTATTTGGTACAGGGTCTTACTACACAGGAGCTCAGACTTGTAGTGATCCTCCTGTCTCAGCCTCCCCAGCACTGAGATTACAGTTACAGTTTCAGTGGCTGGCATGGTGTACCTGCAATGGCATTTATAAAGTGCCAGCAGGGCATGTGGTACCAGGAATTGAACCCAGGTGCTTGCGCTTGCCAGGCAGGTGCTTAGACTGCCGAGGTATCTACCCAGCCCTAGACTGTAAATTTTTGAGGGCAGAAATCATTTTCTGTCTAGGTTCAGAAGAGCGCAGAGCACAGAGTACGGATAAAGAGGTATTTGTTGAAGGAATGAACAAATGAATGAAATGGATGAGTCTCTGCAGTGAGAGCCATCAAATCTGACTGATAGAATCATTTGACTTCTAGTACTCATCCCTGAAGATATTTGACTCCATACTTTGCTAAATTAATGATGGAAAGTGCTTTTTCAACAAGTCATGGTGGATCTAGGGAACTCAGCTTGCCCTTAATAAGGCTACGTTGCAAAGACACTCAGTACCATGGAAGAGAGCAAGTTTGATGCCTTTCTTTAGAACAGAAATCATACTATGACTTCAGCTTATTGGCCTCTTTATGCTGGTGGCCATCGCTAGCGTATTTCTAGCATCTGCTCATTTTTAAAGTTTATTCTAAACCAATGACACACTAGTAGTGGTGAATTATACATTTATTTTTATTCTAGTGAGAGAAAGGCTTTTATGTTCTTCGGCTAACTGCAAAAACATGTGTTTAGAAAGTCTCTTCCACAAATACCTATGCCAATCTCAGCTCTATAACACTTAGGATTTTACAAACTTCAAGAGTTTTATCATGGGCATTAATGAATAGAAATAATTAGTCATGAAGTACTAAAGAAAACATTGCTACGGGTGGCAATATCGTCAGCTGCTGTATGAAGAAGAGCCAAAGTTATTCACTACTTACCTTGTAAGACAATTTTTATTTGTTATTGATAGTAGAAAATATAGCAACAAATTATAAAATGAATTAGAAGAGGGAAATATTGCCTCATGGTCATTTGACTGTTCCATGCAGCATTTACTTTGTTTTTTCATTTATGACATGGGGGTAACATACAGAAGGAGGCCTCTTGGGAAGATCAAGGGCCTTCCCATGTGTCCTCCCTCAGGAAGTGATAAGATGAGGATAATTAGAATGGTAACGAAAGTTGTTTGGATATTTTACCTTTTGCCAGGTACATATATGTTTTAAATAGATCTCATTTTAACTTATAAAACCATTCGGAATCGTGAAGTGTCCATGCGCTTCATCCACCTATGTTGGCCAAACACAGTTTTGGACTTCTAAGCTTTTTAGTCCCGAGCATCATGTGACCTGTGACTCTCCCACTGTCTTCACCTTGACGAGTGGCCTCGCTGTACAAGCCGGGGCCATCCGTGCCGGGAAACCCCAGATGCGCTATGTTTGCTTACCTGCCCCTTCTGTCTTCTGTGTCACTCATGGGCTGAATATAATCCCAGGATTAAGAAGATTCCATAAAATAAAAGTTGTTGGAAATAAGCATTTGGGAAGAGAATAGCGGGAATTCTCAACACACCTGTTACCCCACAGAGAATTATGAACTGCATCTTTAGCTGTTGTCTGCAGGGATCCCACTTTAACCCTGGTGTTAGAGGACCCCGAGGAGGCCTGGGAGGGCGAGTAGTCTGAGTAAGTGCCTGAGGAAACACTGTTATTCAGACAGTGAGTTTTGTCAACTTCAGACTCATCAGTTGATTCTGAAATTTAAAGGGGAAACACGTTACAATGCTATGACCAACGACAACCGCAAACACAGAAAAGTAAGTATGAAAAGCAGATTCCACACCGATTAATGTTAGAAATACGTACTCGTAAAATATTTTTATAGACTATGGTACATCATGAAATTTACAACTGGCGGACCGTCATGCACATGCATTGGCAGCGAATTTTGCACATCAGCGTCACGATGTTACCTTTTTTGTCCTTCCCTAGCAGAACAAGTTTGGGTGGGTACAGAGGGGTCTCAGCTAATGAAGGGTGAAGTTCCCCAATCCTCATTTCATTAGCTGGATGAACAAAAGAATCCTGAGAGATATAATAATACAGGACAAGGAAAGTAAACATTTAAACAGTGATTAACCAAGATGGCAATATCTTTATCTGTCTCAGATTCAAAGACACAGGTGGCCCTAGGAGTTAGTTCAAAGTGGGGCGTTGGGAAGGCTGAGCCGTATGTATCTCTGATTTGAGTACAGATTTCTTTTTCTAATTTAAGTGAGGCCATTTATTCATCAGACATATTTTCCAATGCTGTTTATATGCCTAGCACTGTGCAAAGAACTGTGGAGTTTCCAAAGAAAGACAAAATGTGAGTCCAGTTGGGGAGATGAGACTGAACTTGCTTTTCAACATGACTGAATCAGAGTGGGCCCTCCATGAACAGTGATTCCACACGTGTGCATGGCGTTTATACAAATACCAGGGCTCTAATGGCAAGCTGTCCGAGTTCCAGTTCAAGTGTGCCATTGACCAACTGGATGTGTTTTGTTCCTAGTCACACTAATGCTCTGTTGGGTCCTGTAAGTCCTACTCTGTCCCTCTCACTCTTAACTCTTACTATTGTCCTCATGATTATCTCCTTGATTGCTTTAGTTCTATTACTATTTCTCCCTAAAATTTATAGTTTTCTCATGACCAATCTAGGCTGTCAAACAGTCATCCTAGAATCCCTTCCTTAAGAGTAATCAACCAGAGTGGTGTAAGAATATAGCTTTATCACGACAAATAAAATTGGAAAACACTCATGGACTTGAGACATCTATGAGTCAAATCCTGCCTCCAGCTAACCAAACAGTGGGACAGGATTAGAAAAGGCAAAGTAACAACCATCACTTTTCTTCCAGCTATCAAAATGCTTTGCGTATGTATAAGAAGTGAGAAATTTATGCATGCTAGCTATCTTTATATCTGTTTTTCTTAAATTTCACATGAATTTAAGTTAAAAGAACTTTTAGCTGTTTCATTTGTTAGTCTTTTATTAATTTGGAACATCATACTAATGCATTTAAAACTATTTTGTTAAGTCAGACAAAGAAAAGACCCGAGGACAAATATCAGAAATTCAAAAGGACCTGCTGAATACCGAAGTGGTTGGTGTAATCAACTGATGGAAATCCTTACTATAATGTTATATGTTGCCAAGCACACTCCTGTAGTAGCAAGCTTGCCTGTCTGCTTTCTTTCTTTCTTTCTTTCTTTCTTTCTTTCTTTCTTTCTTTCTTTCTTTCTTTCTTTCTTTCTTCTTTCATCCTAGGTTTATTTACAAACATTTGCCTGTGAAACTCCATTAATGTTAATATATCTAATATTTGCCAGTGCTTTCTTAATAGAAGAAGACTGCGAGATTGTTTGGCTAAGCCTGTCACTGTCAAGAGCAGGATTCTGAGGCACGGCTCAGCGGTGGGCTTGCAGAGGGGTGCGCACTGCACAGGACTGGAGCACACTTCTCCTATCTTCTAGCTAGGCGATCTTTCCCTTTCCAGGTAAGGGAGCACCACAGGGATAAGATGAAGAATCTGATTTGAAGAGGGAAAGTCAAGAGAGAAAATCCTGGGGCTTAGAGAGAAATTTTTATTTTCTTGCATTTTGAAAATAAGTTCAAAGATTAGCATAAGAAACTTGTGATCAAGTTTTAGAGTGACATAATATGGAAGAAAAGCCTTTGCACATCACTGGGGAAATTTATAAGAAGATCACTGTGAGATAGGAATCAGCACTAATTTATAATTTCATTTTATGAAACTAAAGGTAAATGATTTGAATGAAATAATAATTTTAAAAGGAAATTTTATGACAATAAAATACAGACATTTTATTTTAATGAAGAAAAAACATCCAAGCTGAGGATACAAGGAAATAAAACAAGCATGTGTATGAATGCAAAAATCATCATATTACTAAATATTTCAGTCTTCTTATGTCCTACATATTTGATGCTCAAGAGATCTAGTTTGTCCTGATGAAACCTTCAGCTGAAGTTGTGGCCAGAACTCTGCATGGTAGGCATGATCTGACTCAGGTACAGATTTCTGATCTTGATCAAGAACTTTGTGAATCAGAAAGAGCCCTGGAAAGCAGGGGAAGAGTCTGGCTGTCAAGACATCATGATCTTGCATCTTTTCTCCAGGGTCCTGGGATTCTCCATTTCAAAGCAGAACATTATGGGCAAGAACGTGAGACTGCATGGATCCTTTCATCTTCATGTGCAAAGTGGTAGTCATGAAGATGGCGATGGAGCTCCATTATGGAGCACATCTTACTGCCTGCAACAGTGCCAACATGCTGCATGCTGTCAATGCTAGCTATGTTAGTTGTTTAAAAGGTAACGCCTTTGTGATGTGTTATTTTAAAATATATTTATTCTCATTATCTTTGTTCTAAGGAAATGGTGGCACAGTGAGGTAGAAGCACTATTCCAAATCACACAACTAAGTGATAGAGGCAGGGCTTGAACTAGGGTCTTTCCAGCTTTCCTTCCTTCTTTAAATTAATTGTCTACCATATGTATCATTTGCCCAAGAAATGGTCAGTTCCTAAATGAGCTTCACTGAACAAAGTTAACTGTTCTGTAAGGAAAATTAATCATTGGCTTTGTCCTAGAAATCCTCTTATAAAGGGTAGAGAAATCTAGTTGGAAAAGCAGGTTGACCATCTGGGGCAATTTCAGTGGGTGCAGACTGTGCGGGTTACTGGTGGATCACCAAATTTTGCAGGAGACTCAAAAGCACATTGAAATATATTTTCTTCTGGCAAGGAGATGAAAGGGTGGAAAAGTGGGAGGAAAAGGTAAGATTTGCTTAATCTCGTTGCTTTTCTGCTGTTGAAATTAAATCTTGGCCAATATTGTTATAAAGAGGGATTGTATTATAGATGCCCAAGGGAAACAAAGAAGCTACTTCTGAGTTTTTAGGAGTCCTGGTCTCATACTGATGAAGGGAATTTAAGAAAGTTTTCAAGGGTAGTCAATTATTTTGTATTATTGGGAGAAAGATGTGGTTCTTCTGCAGAAGGAACTGGACTAAGTTTCCTAAGGAGGGAAAGGTTCAGAAGTTTTGAATACAGTAGACAGGGTGAATAGGTGTCCGGTAGGGCAGGTGACACACAGAGGATTAAAGGAAGATGGGGCAAGAATAAGTGACCAGGGCCGCTGAGATAGCTCAGTAGACTAAGCGCCTGCTAAGGCAAGCACAGGGACCGGGGTTTGACCACCAGCACCACATGCTGCACCTGCCCTGCCCCCAGGCATGCTGAGCTGGCCACTAAAACATGGTGGCACATGTCTGTAATCCCAGTGCTGGGGAGGCTGAAAACAGTTTGAGCTGCATAGTGAGACCATGTACCAAATACATTAAAAAAAATAATAAGAAGAAACCAGCCTTTTGGGAATGAACAGGAACTGTCCTGACTCTGGACTTCTTTAATTATCATTTGATTTAATTGCTACCGAACTCCGTGAGTGTGCTAATATTATCTTTGTTTTTAAAGATCAGAAATCAAGGTTCAGAGAAGTGTCAGGACTTGCAAAGGTCCGTAACTGGTGACAAGGTAGACCAAAGGTCTTAGTTTATGTCTGCGAGGCTTAAAACACCCTTGCATTCATTTATGAACTGTGCTCTGAGGCGCATCATGGGTTCTAGCCAATGTCCCTAGTGACCAAGCAGGACTTGACATTGTCAGGGTCTGGGCCGCTATGTTAGCACTCAGCTTCAACCCGGGAGTGCACATCATTTCTGATGGGCACCCTCATGAGGCTCAGTTTCTGGGGTTGTGATTGGTACAGATCAAGAGTTAGCCTTGGGGTACCCACTGTGATTCCAGGTTTGAGAAGGGAGGTGATGCCCAACGTGGGCATGCATCTGAGTGATAATTTGGTTTTATTTATTTCAAGAAAAAGATAAAAATATTTTCTTTCCCCATTTATGTGTATTATGTATTATTTCCCAAATGACCACTTAGTAGAATATAAATATTTATTAACTTAAGTCTATTTAATTGGAACTGTTAAATATTTATGTTGGTCTTGGGCCAGTGTCAGAAGCGACACTACGGGTGTTCATCTACTAAGAGTGTATTCAGTGCACAGGTAGAAGTTATGGATAAGCAAGGAGGCCAGCAATCAATGAATGGTCAGGAACTGTCTCTGACTTCAACAAATTTGTGATTGGATGGTAAGGTAGACATGTGAACAGATTCACACTACTGGACTACATCAGTCATTAACTTATTCAACAATATTATACTCTGTAGAAAGTATTTGGTGGGACCCTGCATATACAGGTGTCCCTCAGTTTACAATTGGGTTCTGTTATGATAAACGCATTGTAAGTTAAAAATATCAGTAAGACTCAGTGCATTTAATATACCTAACGTATTCGTACCAGGCACCATAACCTAGCCACACAGCACCCTGTGGGCGATCAGTTGTAATCTCGTGCCTGGCTGAAAGCTGTGTCTTACTGCTGCCACCCAGTATCCTGAGAGAAGAGTATACCACTTAGTGCTAGCCCAGGAAAAGAACAGAATCCAAAATCTGAAGGATGGGTCGACTGAATGCACATTTCTTTTGTACCATTACACAGTTGAAAAATCTTAAGTTCAACTGTTCTTAATCAGGGGCTATGTGTACAATGACTGACAAGATGAAAACAGGGTCCCTGTCCTTGTGAAACTCACGGTTGATAAGCAAAACAAACGTACATGTGTTTCTTCTATTTAATATAAATACACAGGTGAGGCAGCAGAGAACATTAGCGTCAGACTGGGCAGGGTGATCAGGAAAGGCCTTGCTATGGAGGTGACTTTCAGTGGAAACTTGAAAGATGAGGACGTGTGAGCCATCTGAGGAACATTTGGAAAGTGCAAATACACATACAGTCTCCAGAAGGCATTATTATAAGGGAAAATAGGACGACAGGGGAGCCTTCTTAGAAACCTGTTTCTGTTCTTACATCCTCCGGAGTCTATTCTTCAATTAGCATAACATATGTTAAAACTCTCTACACAAATATAGCAAGTAAAACGAGAGCAGTCAATGCTGGTTTACCTTTCCTTTCCCCTTTGGCTGCTTCATAATCTATTTACCTTTGCTTTTCTTTCTGCTTTTGATTCCGCTCCTGCCAACCTCTATTTTTTTCTACTAGCCTTTTGTGCTTAGCCACATGGATAAATATATGATGCTCTGTATAATGAAACACCCTCTGCCACAATCTTGGCAGGAAGAACTAAATAACGATGGCTCAGTGGTCCATGTGTGCAAAACGTAGACTAAATGCTTCATCTCCATGGTCTGACTGATGGTTGGTTTACTGATATTTATTAAATAAGGAAATTGAAAAAATAAAATGTGAGCCTTGATTTGGCGCCTTGATTTCAGCCTGGAGGGTGATAAAGGAAGCAATGCCTTCTTGCTCTAGCACGACTAAAAGTTAGGAAAGATCTAGAATCTCACTTTTAGAGAAAACACTGAACTCACCAGTCAAATCTCTTTTCAAGGGGAAAAGCAATCATAGAAAACTGAGAAAAGGGTGGGGCAAGCCACACAATTAAATGTAAAGCTGGAAGGTTTTGTTTCAGCCCCACTTAATGAGTCCGCTCTAGCTAACTAGGAAGCTTGGATGCTCTGGAGGTTAAGAAAACACTGCAGTGGAAGACAAGGGAATAATTAGATTTGTGTTGTTTTCAGAAAGATCTGAGCAGAGGCAATGAGGAGGTTAGGGACAACGTAAGCCAAGAAACTGAGGTTTTTGCAGAAAAGGAGGACAGAGTGGAGGATCTGAGATTACTTCTGGTGAAAAATCTAAGACTTTGGTAGTTATTTGAAAGGGAGGAGGACAGCAGGAAAGGAAAGGAGATAGAAATCAGCCCACCTCTCAGACTCCTTGGCTGAAAGAACTGGCAGATAACGTTACCCGCTGAGGTCAAGGTCAAGAATGCAGGAGTAGAAACAAGTTCGGCAAAGAAACACTTGATAGGGTGCTGGATTTGTTAAGCTTGAAATGCTCATGGGCCAAATTTAAGATTCATTAGTTCTACTGCAGGGTTGTTATTAAATTCATGACCAAAGTTATCTCTTCCCTGTCTTGGCTTAACCCCCAGTTAAACAACTTGAATTTCATCTTATTTTTGTAGAAGATTTTACTTAGCTGGAAGGCTTTCATGACGGCACAGTTACTTTCATTTTAAACTACGATTCCATGAGATTTAAAAATAGACACTTATGTATTGAATGTATATTAAAAAGATGAGTTTCTATCCTTTTCATATGTTTTTAATGTATTAGAGATAAAATAACATCCATCTTGAAAAAGAGAAAATACAACAATAATTTTATAAATTAAAAGCTATGAGAATAAATACTTAAGAAATTCTCTTCCTTTCATATCCAGTTGCTGTCCCCTGCTCTGGGGCAGATATTTTTGCCAACACGTGGGCACACTGCGCATCTGTTTGCTCAAAGTCTTTCTTTGTCGGGAAAATGACCCTCTAATCTCTAACACGCACCTCAGGCCTAATTTAGTGTGCGTTTTATTTTCCATCTCACAACCTATTACATGATCAAACCTTACAAAGATGTTCTCGGATCACTTCTGATGTACCATATTCAGCTGACTACACTTCCAATTTCTTGGGGACTATGAAGACATTTTATATTTCTTCTTCTTTTACGTGTCTAGCACAGTGTGCCCCTTACAGTTGGTGTTTCACAAATGAAACAACTTGTTTGAAATGCAGATTTGTAAAAGAGTTTTAGCAATCTAGAGTTTTTGAGAAGTCATGTGAACTTCTAGACATTCATACAATTATATTTTTAATGGAGATAAGAGAGATGACAATTCGATCAACAGAAGAGTTGATGAGAGAGTAGAGGTGGCATACATGTAGTTGAATTCTTTTCAGACTGCACACATCAATAAGGATGAATTTCTAACTAATTCAGAAATAGAGGAACTAGGCTTCATATGACTCAATTCCATAAACCTAAGCTCATCTCTTCTTTTTGTTGTTGATAACATTTTCTATAATGGTTGTGACCCAAGCATGAAAACCCTGAAAAAATTGCTCTGAACCTGATTAAGAATTTTATAGAAACTTTAAGAATGAAAAATCTTCGGTTAGTTTATCCTAGTGATGGAGATGATGAAAGTGTGGGGCTTGCACAATTATTTTACTAACATAATGCCATCACCGGCGGGGCCCTGCTTAACTGAGAAACTTCATTCTGTGTGTTTTGGGACTTGGGGAGCTGTGTTGTGATTCCCGGATGTGAGGGTATCATTTATCTGTGATTTCTTAAACACAACCCTTATAGTTTGAAATAGTAGAGAGATCATTTATATTTTAGGGTAAAAATGTACTTATCCTAAGATATCTGGTCAGTTAAAAAAATATCCTTTAGAATTCCAAAGAATGCACACCATGCTGGCAATTACCCATAACCTTCAAATACCTCCACTGTAATCTCCTTGGGGGCCACCGGCCACTTGTGCTCAAACTTTTCTTTCACAGTTTGCTCCATGTTAGCAGTTGGGTTTGAATTCTCAACACGCACTCCATGGCTTGGCTTACCCACCAGATTTTGAACAGATTTTACCATATTCTTTAAATCCTCTGGGTAAGGAGTTGGATATCGTTTTAGGTTTATTTCAACCTAGAAGTTTATAAAAAGAAATTTAACATAAAAAGAACTTCAGCACGCATGCCATTCACAAAGCTTTGCCACTTTATGTGCAGTAGAATAACCAAATGCAATACAGTGAGTGTTGAGCTGGGGGGATACCTCAGCAAGGAGGACACATAATGTCCTGCTCACGTCGGCCTCGGGTGACTTCTCCTCACCTTTCCTACTCTTCTAGCTGATAGACAGGTTTTGGATTACATCTTATGTTTAGAGTGACCCTTGAGATGTCTGAAATAGAACTAGGTCCAACACTGAAAAATGTAATCAAGTTATTATCTGCAACGTTCACACTCCAGAGATTCTTCACACATCGCTACCTTAATTATTTGTAAGTAATAATTTTGATATTAAGAATATGCAAGTAACGGGAGGGAACTCCCCCAAAGATTTAAAAGTAGAGTTATGTATTTAAAAAGTGAGGAGTTTATAATAGCTTCTGCCCAAATATATAATTAGCAGCCTGTATCAAAAAGGCAGCATAGCTAATTCTTGATGCTACCTAAGAAAAAAATGCTTTGTGGGGGATTTCCTATTTATTTTTTATCCTAATAAAGTAATACCTTCTTGAAAAACATCTTCTAATAAAGAGGAATGAAAATTGAAACTATTATCTAATATATTTCAGACAAATATATACATTTTAGCTTATAGTTATATAGGTATTTAATTCCACTTTTGAATTTTATGTTGGGGTATCGATCTGATTTCAGGGATACATATTAATGACTACTTTAAATAATGAATTTATTCCCTACAGAGTATCCTGCCAGCAGAACACTTATTATTACGTATTTAAAATAGGATAACTAGAGGTTGTCCATGCTGCTCCAAAGGGATTGGACAAAAAGAAGAGTTAGATTTCCTTTGTGCGCTGTGTTCCAATAGTCATGCCTTCTAGAATCTGAGTAGAATCAACTTGACAACGTGGGATGGCTTATGTGATTGTGGTATGTGTTTGTGGAGAGTGTGTGTGTGAGGGTGGCGTGGGAGGAGAGAAGGCGGGAGAGCGCTAGAGGAGGAGGAGAGGATGGGAAACAGAAGGAAGTGTGGGAGGAGCAAGGGGCATGCAGCGCCCAGCCCACACCCACACAACTGATGGAATGTCAAAGACTGTGGCATGGGAGAGCTCTGAGTATCATGAATACAAACTCAAACACTTTTGCTCATCTGCAGTTTTAACAAATTCGCCAACTGTGGTATTCTTCTTAGCATTTTGTCTTCCTTGTGGGTCTTTTTCCTAATCAAATAGTAGGGTTGGGATTCACTAGATGATTTTTACCACTCCTTTTTATATCAAAGATGTATAATTTCCAATATGTATTTGGAAAGGAATTAAAAGCACCAATTAATATGGCTAGGTAAGTGCTGTAAAATGTATTTAAACCTTTTTCACTCCCAAATAACTAAGAACAAAGCTAATAATATACAGAAGTAAAACTATAATAACCCAAGGCAAGGATAGACTCTATAGAGCAAGAAGCATAAGCTTTTCTACTTTAATATTAATATGTCCCAGCGTACTAAATATGAAAAGCCTTCTTAAACACAAAACAGTGACATCCACGCTGGACAAAGTGCACGGGGACCCATGCACCCAAGGGTCTGCTGCTCAAATTGGTATCAGAAGTATTATGGGATGAATCTAATTTTCAGTTAAAATGTTGAACTTGTTTAAAAGTACTTAACATCAAAAGACTAAGAATCAAGAAACTACATTAAAAAAAAACTAAATTGCAGAATAGTGTGACCAACATGCCAATTTAGAATATCTTACTTTTATTAACTAGTGATATATGGAATAATGTAGGGCATTAAATTAAAATTCTGCATGACTAAAAAATGTTCAACACTAAAATTACACTTAGAAATTGAATTAAAGGTGGCAGAAATGTGAAACACTCTTCTTAATTAAATTAAATACTTCACTGCATAATGTAATCCACTTTGTACAGACTTTGCCCCCCATCTGACACAATCAGAAGGTTGTTGGCTAATGGCCCTGAGAAGAATGTTTCCTGGCTATTTTATAAGCACGCTAGTGAGATACTTTGGCCATGTCACCAGAATGTATTTGGGCATTTTCTTTTCATAAAAATATTTAAATCTAGAGACAGATTTATCACTTTCACGTCTCTTCCAAGGTCATGGGAGTAGCCGCGTTTACGTATTCTGGAGTCATTTTATGTCTTTCTCCGCACAAGCCTTCCTCCAAATTGTGGGGACTCCAGGTCTCATAAAATGTTGATTCATTTTATCTAGAAAATCAGCTGCTTGCTTCTAATTTACTGGTGTCCTACGGAGCTCGCTGAACAGGGAGTCAGGACGTGTGAACGTAAGCCAGGGAGTCACCCCCAGCTCCTCGCTAGCTGCTAATCTTTGAGTCCATCCACTCATCAAAAGTGAGAATATTAACACCTTTCCCACATGCCTGAGTTAATTTTGAGGAAAAAGAGATAAATGTGAAGGTCCTTTGAAAATTGGTAAGTTCCATGCAGATATTCAACATTATTTCTAATACAGATTTTAGTTAGGTATTCAAAAAGATAAAGATTCCTTTGGTAATCTAGATCCTGTACTAGATATGTCACAGTTATTTCATACTTAGCTAAATCTTCTTTTGCACTAGGTGCAATCAGTTATTACTTACTCTGTACCTATTACGTGCAAGGCAAGCTAAATGTTTTATAGGGATATTTGATATACTATTAATTTTTTACATAATATATGACTATGATGGATCCTATAGGTTAAATATGTATTGCTATTTATATACTAAGTCGTAAATGGTCGTTCATTATTATAGGATGGATCATTAATTTTTAGTTAAATCTTATTTGAATGTCATAAATGATTACAGCAGCTATTCTCACTGCACAGCAGGAACACTGGAGCTTATACAAGACAAGCAGCTCATCTAAGGGAAGATGCAAACTGGGTTTTCCTGGCTTCGTGGCTTTTGGTTTACCAGTATTATTTGTGGCTACAGAATATATTGGTGTAACATTGTCAAAGAAGTACAGCAAGTCTACAAAGTAGATCTTATTAAGTTAAATAATGATATGATTTCGGTTAAAAGTGCAGCTACATTACTATTTTATGAATGCTTTTAAGATTAAACTCTGACACTTGTTTTGCTTTAGGCTCTCACAAGCACAGTTAATGCCCTTTTGAAGACTGTATTGCTTTTACCCTTTTCAACTCATGCATGTAGAACATGAGAAAGGAATAAACAGCTACGTTAACAGCTCAGTAATTCTCAAATATAAAAGCAGTTTCTTTATATTTCTAACTATAAATAAGGCTAGAAATATTGCCTTATTCTATGTAGCATGAAAGGACATACATTCATATTTTACATCCTAGGGTGGGAAAGCCTACCAATTATACTCATAAAAGTTTTGCATTTTGTCACTCACTATAAAGTATTTGCTCATGTTACAAAAACATTTTATTAAAATGCAAAATTTTTACTAAAATATTTTACTTTTTGAAAACAGAAATGTTTTATAACAGTATAAGCACCCCAAATCTAAAGTATAGAAAATGCAAATAGCAGCTACAAGATCTGGGAGACCCCCAAACATTTAGTACTCAAGAAGAATTATTTAATATTAATAGCTTGGGCATTTGGAAATGATATCTTGAATTCACATGTAATTATTTCTCATATATTATATTATATTCGTATAATATAATATATTGCATATCATGATTAAATCCTCATTTGATTTGATTGTCAATTCCAGTAAGAGAAATAATAGTGCTTTCTGATCACTGATATTAAATATTACTTTTTTCTCAGAATTAATTAGAATGTTTTACAGTGAAAAAAAATGCAGAGCAGCGGTAGTTAGGAAGATACAGGCTGAGCTTGTCTTATATTGTAGGAAGAATATAAGACACAGAATAAGAATCTAGTCCATTACATGTGGATAGTAAAGTTTACAGAAAACGGTGTCTTTTCATATTCCATTAAGATATACTTTTCCTCCCACTAACCTCAGAAACACCCAACCCACTGAGATAAGGAAGCCCTATTTGCTCCAACTCCCAACCCAGTCTTCTCTTATAGGAATTCATATCATCTGTATCTTCAAATTAAAGGAAATTGATGTTTTAACAGATTTCTATCTTTGTGTTCAAAGCCGGCTCTTAGCAAATCTCAATTTAGTTCCATGCTATTTTAAGAATCAATTTTAGCTACTTAATCTCCCAGAGATTTGATGATATAAAAAGCGTACGTGTGCAAGGGGAAGATAATTTAGATTGTACCAATGGTATCATCAACATTCTGCCCAACTATTGGTATTCCTATACTTTAAAGGAAAAAAAAAAAAGCTTTAAAGATAAAAGAAATATAAATAAAAATGCAGCCTCCCACTGAAACACCATGCCAGATACCCCACCGATAGACACCGCTGCCTCCATCCTTCCCACCCTACTGCCAATGTCGATAAGCACAGAATTACGTTAGGATCCAACATTGGCCATGTGGAGGTTGCTTTGTGATCAGCATCGCTTACCCCACGTCATGCAGGACATCCCCCAGCAACCACTGATCCAAGGTTGTCTCTACGTGGGGAAGTCTCCTACCCCAAACACCTAGGCCTACCTGTCTGCCACTTAGAGAGGGAAGAGTGGTGGACTGCGCTGCCACTGGTAATTGAGTACACATGCTCCTCTCCTGCTGGAGGCCACTTATACAACCCCATGCCAGCTGTGGGTCACTCTGGGGGACGGGCATATCTTGGATCTGCTGATCACACCTGGCCCATGGTGTGCAGCAATCGCCAGACAGTCTGGCAGGTTGGAGAGTAATCCCACGCTGGCCCCTTTCCCAGGGGGCTTGGCAGGAGAGACCCTGTAGGAGAAGGAATCTCCATTTTCTGGGAGAAAGAGGAGCACTGTAGCAATACTTTTACTTTATAACTTTTCTGTTCTTGACTCTTTTCTTTCATTCTGGGTAATGCATTTTAAACAACTACTATTAAAATTAGCTTTACATCCATGTAACAAATCAGCACCAACGTCACAGGAAGCCGAAGTGTCACAGCACACAGCACTCACTCTCTGCGTACTCTAAGCAGGGCATTATACTCTAGTCTATTTGCCAATGGGTGGCATAGGCCACTGGCTCCCTTTTGGAGTTCAGGCAAGTTCAAGGTAAAATGAGATTAAATTTATTGTACATGTAATGAACCAGAGAAGTGTGATTAATTTAGTGTAAGATTTCAGTATATTCCATTCATCATACTTCCATGATGATTTATTTAGAAGTTTGTTTGTGCTCTAATTTGTCCAATGGCCAATGGCATTGGAAATATTCAAATTAGCTAAAGCCAAGTAGGTTGAGATTTTGGAAAAACAGATTGTTTTACCAAAATGTGAATAAACAAAGTGCAAATAAATATAAAGGAAAATCTCTCTAAAGTATAATGAACCTACTCTGATTATAAACAAACCTAGTCACATAACACACAAACAGGGCTTCTAAATAATTGCATTTACTAGTTCCGTTCTCATTGACACATATACCAGAGCATATTAAATGTATTGTTTTTCAGATCATTTTTGTGTGTAGATTTTGTTGAAAAAAAGCATGTAGTTTTCAACACTTCAATGAAATATAAAAAAATCAATGGTCCAATATAGAATATATCATCTATTGGTTCTAGATTTAACAATGGAAATCTTTCAAAGAGGAAATGAAATATTCCCAAGGTTGGTTGATTAGTTGGCTTTTAGTTTAGCATAATTTTTTTGCCAGGCAATCGTAATTTTAAGAAAAAAGAATGTGCATGGATGGCACCAACCAACCATGCAGAAACATTGTTTTAATTCAAAATCTTTAACAAAAATTGTCCTTTTGGATTTGGGAATGCGTTTTGAATTCTCTTCAATGATATAAGTCGGTCTTATCGGTAAATGCTCAATTACCTTACTGACGAATTCTAGTAAAAGGTTCTAGAAATAACGGGTTAGAAATAACATTTAGAAAATATGGCAGAGAGGGGACAGAACACATCACACAATCTACACTTATTAATAGGATGCATATATTACTACCTACGTAATTAGTCACTAAGAGTGAGGGCTGTTAGTATACATAATGGAAAACATATACAAGTAGTATAAAGACTTAATGAGAGATTCAAGATGTTGCCATGACAAGAACATGAAAATCAAGTGTTAATAAAATTTAAATCGATTCCGATGGCAGTTGAAAATTTAAATAATTGAAAAATAGAGATTGTAAAATTCAACTGGGTTATGTGACTTAGATGAATTCCAATAAAGTATATTTAAAAATACGTTTTGGTGCAAAGAAAGCGATTATTTTCCTTATGGAACACCATCTGTCAGTAGAAATTCCCCTCAATGTTTGTCCTCCCATATAAGGAAAGTCATAGATTCTTTTCAGGTGTCAAAGAGACAAAAATTGTGAAATACTCAGAGCTGCTGTGACGTGGCCATCAGTGGGCTCTGTGGCCTCAGTTTGCCTGACGCTTGATCCATTGTTAAAAGCAAACCTCTGTGGTGCCAAAGAGGTAAAAAGCACTGAGAGGAACGAAGTCCACTGTTCAGATTTCATTGCATTTTGCTTTCCCTCAGCTTGAATCTCTCTCATGTTGTGCTCAGGAGGAAGGGGTGGCATTCAAACTCTCAGACTCAGGACTGAGACACTGTTCTCATTCTGAAGCACACCACCAGTGTTTCTCAAACTACCAGCCTGCTGCAAAGACAGGAGCTGGGAGACCAGATGGACCGGCCCTCCCGACAGAGCTTACTCAATGGATCACAAAATCTATTTGAATAATAACTATGGAGAAAGCAAAGGAATAAGAGAAGAAGAAAGAAACAAGAGCTAAAAGTTTCACCTTAACTTTCCCAGCATTTTCATCGTCTTCTTTTTTTTCCTCAAATTCAAAGGCAACAGTCATGCGTTGTTGTCTCTGCTCTTCCCAGAGTGTAGGATTGAAGCTGTCACTGTCTGACTGGAAATCTACAGTTAGATTCCAAAGTGTTACTGCTGTTTTGTTTTTAAACAGAGTGTTACCCCTAGAGCTTAACATAGTATGCCAAAAACTGGGGACAGGTACCACAAAAGAATACAAAAATAAAGAGAATGGAAGAGAAATAGAGGGAAAGAGAAAAAAAAAAAAAAACGAGAAAGGAAGAAGGAAAGAATGACCAAAGAAGGAGTACCATCCCCTTGGTATTTATTACAACATCTTATCTTCTAACCTACTAACTCCAATGTGTTTTTCATAAGTTAGACAAAGGGTCTGGAAAGATTTCTAATGCTGCAAATAGGGTTCCTGTAGGATAAGAGAGACAATGCAGAGAGCTAGACAAAGCACTTTCTCATGACCGCCTAATGGCAGTGCTACTGTCATCCACATTTTCTTAACAAGGGAACCATAACTGAGCTTTCCAACGTTTGCTAGTAGTCATGCAGCTCTTGTGGGGATAATGTGGGACTCTGGTCCATATGTACATGATTGCAGAGTTCATACGTGTAACCATTAAAACCTCAGCCCGTGCATTTTCTAAAAACTGGTGCTGATTATGTAATGAGGTACCTATGGTTGCACCAGTGTTGTTTGTTCTTTGGGGTGTGTGTGTGTGTGTGTGTGTGTGTTTGCGGGCAGTGGAGGCAATGGTGCTTCTAGGGTAGAGAACAAGTAGAAAATTTAGTCTTTAATATTAAGATTTTAATTAGTTGGAATGTACCTGAAATTAACAGGGAAACGATTTATAAATCTTTACATCAAAATATTGGCTAGTGATAATTTTTTTTTAGCAATTTAATTGTGAAGATCACATGAAAATGCAATAGAAGTACTTGGTTTACGTTAAATTGTTTCTCAAAAGATAGCCTTTGTGGTATTTTGTTTGTCTAGTGTAAAGGATTCTGAAAATTCATTAATTATATTCCTGACAAACAAGAAAGATGGCTGGCTTGAAGTTCAGGAAAAAATTTCACTTAGCAACTTTACTTTTCTCAAAGGAAAAACAAAAACAAACAAACATACAAAAAATCCAAGTAGGCAAACATAAATTCTTCCTCAGGACATCTTCCCTGACTACATCTATCTCACACCTTTGAAAAATTAGGGACTTAATCTGTGAGATTAGATCTCAGAAATGACCATGAACCTGAAGCACTTTTTCCTTTTCTCTGCCTCTGGTGAAAATGAAATATGCTGATAATCTACATATCATCATGAATATGCACATGAGCAAAGCTACCTAAATGAAACATAGTCCTTAAGATTTCTCATAAAAGTAAACATGGTGGCCTTTCTTTCATGAAAAAAATATATGAAAACAACCTCTCCTTTTGCTATTTTTCTGAGTCAAAATTAGAATTAAAAGTATTATAAGACATCTCTAAGTGATTCTCTTATGTTTAGAAGTTAAAGTTATTTATTGTAATTATCCCTAAAAATAAGAAGTGTTCAAGCAAATGGTTTATCTTACAAACTGGTCTCATTTAAGTCACCTGGGTGGGTTTAATCCACAACCTCAGTAAAATGGGTTTATACTTCCAAGAATTATTGGGCTTCTTGACTGGAAAAGTGCCTGTCAACTGGAGCTGACAGCCAAGTAGCTGGTACTGAGTTTCAGGTACTAGAAGACAAACCTCTTGAAAACTTTTTATGAAGAATGTGATCATAGGAGAGAAGACTGAATTATTAGAAGAGGCTTAGGTTTTTAAAAAAGAATTTTTATCATAGTTGACATTGTTCAGGGAAACTCAAGTTGAAAGTGACAAAATGGTCATTGTTTGTTAACTCGTTGCTTTCTGGTTAGCTCCTGGCATGAAACAATCCGGTGCCCAAGGTCACTGGACTGAGTGTGAAGATGTGAACACCACCTGACTTCAGTTGTGTGATGACCATGCGTGAACACAGGTGTCACCTGCTGAGCTTTCCTAGGGCTACTGCCCTCCGCTCACTGTGGTGAGCTGGGCATCATTCCTTCCCTAGTCCTGGGCCATGCAATCCAACGAGCAAAGAAGTTACTTTGAAATGTCGACATTATTTTTGTGTAAGATCCAAAGAGGAAGGGTCTTGTTTCTGGAGCCTTACATAAAACATTACAGTGCAGATGCTCATGCTGAGCTCCCCAGCGATACACGTGTGTCACGTGATTGCCTTTATGGGCTTCCCGTGAGTGAGCTCCGCCGGGAGATCAGAGCACATCAGTTCTTTTTATCTGTGGTCATTGTAAATACAGAAGAGGTTTCTACTGGCAATTTACCTTCATCACCGCGAGGTTGCTGGGGAAACATGTAGTTAGTCAGCACCCTCTGCTTCGTCTCCGGATGGGCTTCTGTTTGTAAAGGGATAAGGGCTTTGGACTGGAAGCCGAGAACACAGGAATTAGATGAACACTATCGCAAACACGAAGACTACCAGAGTTAGACAAGATAATGGTTATTAAATAGTCTGGCCTCACCAAGGTGAGTGAAATATTAAACGAAAAGTAAGTTAAAAACTGGAGTCAAGAAGTGTAACATAAAAGAAGACCATTGTTGAAGAATGTTTTCAACTTCTACCATTTTCATAATGAGATTTTCTTCTGTATTGTACCCGTTTTAAAAACTTACCAAAACCTATTCAATTGAGCAATGCCACTTTTAATCCTGATAAGAAAAATTGCTAAATTATTTCAATTTAAGCTAGCTTTCTGAACAGTTCTATATGCCTATTCATTTTCATGGACTGTTTCCCAAGAAAGACAAATGGAATTTGCTATCAAGTTCATATTTTGCAAGATCATTTATGAGTTTAGTTGGTATGAAACATAAACATTTATTAAAGAGACACTTTTGTAAGTAAAGCCATAGTCCACATACTGACAAGCAATTACGCAAGTATCTGATATATTGTAGTATATTTATGGTCATATTTCATTCTGTCATTAATTTGATTTCAAAATACATGTGAAGTGCTTTCAGAATTGGTATATTAAATGCTAGAAATATTTTGGAAATGAAAGTAGTACATAATGTACTAAAAATCTGCGTATTTCATGACACTTACTAATCAGAGTGAAGCCAAAATAAGATTTGGAAAACTAGCTTGTTTCATGAAGCATTAAATGGATGCTTAAAAATGAAAATTAAATGGTACAACCATTGTTCCATTCACTGTCTCGCAAGAATAATAAATCATGATGGTAGAGAGAGTTTTTTTTAAATAATGCCAGACTATAGGAGAGATTATTCTACCTAGTAATGTTCACATGGATTCCACAAGTGATTTATTTATGATATATCTATACTGTGAAAAATCATAAGTTTATTGATAAGATTTGAATGACATTCTATGACTTTAGTCAGTTGATGGGATTACTGTGAAGAATAGAAAATCAAACACTATTTTCACATTTACCCTTTGGAGAAGTTTTAATTTTCACAAAGTAGCCTGATGGCCATACATGTGAACAATTCATTTAGCAGTAATGCTAATATTATGCTAAAAAATGGTGCCAAACTATATTCAAGATGGTTTTTTTTCATCTGAGCATTCACATTTTAAAATTTTAGAAAAAGGAAAAAAAAAGGGGGATGAATGAACTATGTCAAAATTATACATTGCCAGTTCTTTTGGTGGCAAATTGGATTCCACAAGTATTTCTCATTGCTTTCCATGTAATAAAATTATTCCCTAGTACTCAATTACTGATTTAACTATGCTCTATTTTGTATACAGAATACTACCAAAACAGAAAAATACTGATAACAGTTGTTAAAAGATATCAGAAAATTTCTGGAATAAAGTTGTAGTATAGAGTTGATTATAATTAAAAGCATGAGAAGAGAATAGAACATAGTAGATAATAATTCCCCCTGGTGGGGACTGTGGTAATGATTTTTATTCTTTACCTTCAGAGTTATAATTAAAGTACATCCTCTCAGGACATATCTGTCCCATCAGAAGCTAAGAGCCTATGCAAATGATCTCAGATGATTTGAAGAGGGTGGAGATTATAGTACTGTTTTGTCTATGACAATACTTAAACTGGTAGCTTTATAAAAATATCACTTTCATGGGGTAAAAATCTGTATTCCATAGCAGCTGTCAGTGGTGTATCTATTGGGAAAAAGTCAGTAATTCAAAATTTCAATTGTGATTCATCTTAATAAACAAAATCTACCAGGCAAGGTGTTTTTTGTTTTGTTTTTTTACCTGATTGTCAGAAAGCCACAATGCTGCAAGCTCTTTAAGTTTGGTAAAGGAGAATGGTAAATTCTTCAATCTGCAAAGATAAGAAAATTTTAGCAGCCCAGGTCAACATTTATTGAGTGCACTTCTAAGAATTATTTAAAATATTCTACTGTGTTGTTATGTCTTTTCTATAATCTTTTCTCTCAGGAACAGTCTTCAAAAATGAACATCTTTGTGACTGTTTAAATGCTTCATAGTATATCTGAATAAAATTTTTAAAAAATAATATGCACATAATAATAACCGGGTCTTGCACTATCTGGTGCCTCAGAACCCTTTCAGTAGCTGCTTCAGCCGTGCTTTCCTGACTCAGTCTGGCCAGCTCCCTGGGCCTTTCCTGCCCAGCCATCTGGAACACTCTCCCGTGTTTGACCTGCCCAAACCCTACACATTGGCTGGCTCTCAGTTGAAAGGTCATCTTTTCAAAGAGGGCTTTTTAAAAAACTTCCTTTACACTAGTTTTTCTCCAGTTAGTCTCAAAGTGCCTTGTGTTCCCTTTCACAGAGCATAGTGCATTATTTATCAGTTATTCTGTGATTATTTGGTGACCACCTGGTATTACAACACTCAGTTTCATGAGGGGAAGAGCAAGGTGTATCTTAATGCTAAATAGATGACACTCCTCAAGGCGATGCTGACCTCTGGGAGGCCCACTTGCTCTTTCACTGTTCATAAAACACAGCAGATACCCGAAGAAGGGATGGCTTTACTGCGGATTTCCGCTGGTCTGTTGGAAAGAGCAGCTAATGCTTACATTTTTTTCTCTATCTTTTTTTTTTCACCTATTTTGCAACCATTCCTGAATCCCTATCATATTGTTTAGTGAAATTCTGTATCATTTTTATTTACTTATGTCTTGCTATTTTTATTCTCTTAAAAATAGCATTTTTGAGATGAGAAGTGTGTTCTCAGCCTTGGGATTCAAACAAAGTTATGTACTTAGCTTTGGTTTTAGTACTTGGGGGAAGCTGCCAAATATCTACCCAACGTGCTATCTGGTATCTGTAAAAGCACAGTTGTGCATGATCAATAGGCTGTGAGCCCACAGCTTATCTGCCAGGCCAGTTGGCACAGCGAGCGGTATAAGCAAGCACGTGAAGGAAATTCATTGTGAATTTCTGCATGTTCACTTTTGAACATAGGAAAACATTTTAGGTATAAGCTGAAATGAAAATTTTCTTAAGTCTTTGTATAGTTGAATCATCGCTGATAAAAAACATCTTGATAATGATAGTGAAAATGTTGCAGGAATTAATGAATTAATTTTCTGTGCAAAAGCAGCTAAGTACTTTCAAGTAGCTTAATAAATACATATAAAAAGAGATTGACAGCTAATGCAGGTATTGAATATGCATTTGACAGATAACTTTAGGAAGAATATAATATCCTTTCTGAACTGATAAATATTTGTAAGACATAAACAAGACTGCAAAGACTAGAAAAGATTAAATTATATTCTAATTCTTTCTTTTGGTAGAATTACAGCTCAACTTCAAACCAAATTATCCATAAATGTTATTTCTAATTTATAGCTATTTAAATTCAATTACATGAGAAATTGCGAAGCAGGTTTTATTATGGGTGACATTTTTCACATTATGTGGGAATAAATTTAAATCAGAAAGTCAGTTTTGCTGCATCTAAATTACATGGGGAGGGGGGGGACTCTAGAACCATGTAGGACAATTTCATGGTAAGTGACCAGTCCTAAAAACAGAATATGAAGAAGAGAAAGAGACTACTGGAGAAGGGTAAAGGGTTTCATTTTCCTGGCTCTTTTAGTTACCTCTGCTGAATGTCATATATTTTGTAATGAAAATGCAGAGAATATGCCACAAGCAATGACTGTCAGCACAGGTTATATATAGCTTGTATCAATATATGATCTCAAACCTAAAAAAATTATTATATTTTGAATTTTAAAAATGCTCTTACATAATATTTTTTAATCTCAGTTCCTCTCTAGGAAGATCATTGTCTAATGGTAATAGTTAACTTTGACCTTTTTTCTAACTGATTATTGATTTTTATCTCTGATTAATTGATTCTGCAATTAAAAATACTAAGTTGGTTTCATTCGACATTCTAGTCACTGCAACGGAGGATAAATTAAGCATGTGCTTTTGTAATGCTTAATTTGACATGCCTTATTTGGCATGATGTGATAGGTACATCTTTATTTTGTTGGATGTTCAATATCTTATTCATATATTTTGCCGGAAGACTTAGCAGTCTGTCTGCCCATGGCAGCTACTCAAGTCTGCTGTATTTGCTGAGGAAGTAACTCCAAAGTATTAACAGTCCTAATTACAGATGACTTGTAATATTTGGCAAGCATATTTTCTATACAGTCATGCATATCATTCATGAAAAACTTTGGAGGCCAAGCATTTAGGAGAAAAGTTCTATAGCACATCATGACAAGCCCTGTCCTTGTTAGCAGTGGTGTCCATGCAGGGGCTGCAGCTCAATTGCATAGGAATACGTATGCTTACGACCTCTGCATGGCCGTATTTCTTTTCTTTTTTTCTGTATTTTAGGGAAGGGCCTACAGGGTGTTCAGGGTCTTACTACTAGATTGGACTCGTAGTGACTCTCCTGTTTACAGCCTCCCAAGAGCTGGGATTACAGGCGTGTGCCATCATGCCCAGTCTCAATCGCTGTCTCAGTGCGCCCTGGGGGCGGGGCTGGCACAGCAGGTCAGAGGATTGATCCCTCCAGCCCCTCTGCCTACTTGCAGGCTTCATGGCCATATTTCACAGTCTAATCCATAGGCATTGAGAGATTTGAAAAAACTGTCTTGTTGAAAGTTGAAACATAATATTCAACAAGTACATTTACCCCATTTTCTAGTCTGGTAACTTCATCGGAAGAAGAAAGGACATTGGTGTGACAAGGCACACTCTAGACACGCAGAGCTTTGGGGCCTCCTTGCCACCCTGAATTTACAAATAAAACCCCAAAACTTTTAATAAAAAGTAAAAAAAGCTTTATTCTCTTTATGTGGAAATAGGAGAGAAATATGAAAGGAATGGATTTTGAAATTCACATAACTCTTCCCTCCAGTAAGCATAAACAAAGCAGGACGCCTCTGCCCATCCTGAAGCGTCCTGACTGCTCCGGATCGCACAGGTTCCTCTTTGACAGCTGTCTCTCAAGGCCTTCTGGTTCCTCACACGTCATTTGTCTGAGGAGAGCTGGATGGAAAGACTGAATTCCTGTGTTCTGTCTGCACCAGTGGTCGATTTAGTGATTTCTAGCCAGCATCTACTTTTTCTTTTTCTATTTGAGGATACTTGGCATTTACAGAGAAGGTGGAAACAAAGAAGCATGCAGATTACCCCTTTTTCTTTGTACCTGTCTACCAACACGACAGTTTTGCCATAAGTGGAAGGCCTATTCTGTTTTTATTCACCATAGTTTGTACATGACTAAGTAGCTATTTGGTTACACTTACTATAATACTCAAAAGTTGTGACCTTTGACTAACACCTTACTAGTGATATTAGGACCAGCACAATGGTGGGGTCAAAATTATACATATTATCCCATAAATTTGTTAGACACATAAATAAATGTATAAATATAAACACACAAGTGTACATTACATATTTGTGAGTTTATTTGTACTTGTTAGTATACTTTACTAATCAGAAAATAGTTTTCACAGCTTTTTACTGTAATTGTTTTCCCTTATTTTTATAGAACTATGCTTCCCACGTAGAGGAAGGGCTTTTGTGTCTAAGTTTGTGTGCATAGATTTTATATAATGTAATGTGATTTTTTTTTTTTTTTTTTTAGAACCGGGGACTGAACTCAGGTCCTTGTGCTTGCCAGGTAAGTGCTTATTCCACTGAACTATCTCCCCAGCTTGTAATGTGATTTTAACATAGT